CGTATTAGCACCAGATGCTTCCACGCTGCCACATTCTTCAGCGTGGGAAGATGGGGGTGGAATTGCACAGAGCATATGTGGTTAGACATAACAGCATTTTTCTTGAAAATCAAGGTCATGTTATTTCTGCACCTGGGTGAGAGTGTGTCTCAAGTTGTGACAGACGGCGATTGGGGCATGTGATGGAAGGAGGGGTGCAGGGGGCTGGATTTGTCATTTTTACTTATTGGAGGGCAACGTGGAACTTTCAGATCTGGGTTTTCCAAAATGTGTCACTACTCAAATAAAAAGGAAACTTTGAGAAAAATGCCTGTCTCTGGGTTTTTAATTGGGGGTTTTGTAGCCAGAACAAAATAGTCTTTCTTTTTCTGGGAACCAAGGACATTCCCATAGGTGGCTGAAGAGAGGAGGGGTGATGTCACCAGGCAACCAGACAGCGTCTTGATTGGACCATGTGACTGGTTGTTTGAGAAAGGGGGAATTACTTTAATTGGTGAAAACCGCAGGAACCTTCAGAATCGGTTTTCACCAGTCTGTGTGCCAAAATCTTAAGTCCAATCGACCTGTTCTTTGAGGTATCTGCTTGCCTCGGAGTTCGGTTTGCTTTGGGTGTATTACTTGGAACCCTGACACCCATCTTTTATGAATGTGTCCTATCTCTTTCGGACAACCTTGTCTGTTCAAAGGCCGAGCAAGATCAGACCTGATTTAAATAAGGGATGGAATCTGAACAAGGAGAGATTCAACCTGGAAATAAGGAGAAACTTTCTGACAGTAAGAACAATCAACCCCTGGAACAGAAGTTGCCTTCAGAAGTTGTGGGAGCTTTATCACTGGAGACTTTCAAGAAGAGACTGGACTCTCATCTGTCAGAAATAATGTAGGGTCTCCTGCTTGGGTGGACAGGGGGTTGGACTAGATGACCTACAAGGTCCCTTCCAACTCTGATTATCTGTTATCTGTTAAACTTGGATGGGAAAAAAACCAGGAAACCCTAAGAGCTTCTAGGCTAGACTGGGAAAAAGGCAACGGCTATCTCCATAGGTTTGCCAAGAAAGCTATGTGGATGTGGGTTGGGAAGCACCCAGCCTGGCAGGGAGAAAGGGTCAAGTAAGGAATTAGCCTGGAGTCATTGCCCAATTGCAAAAGCACCAGGTCCAAACAGCCTTAAGTTCATCCGTCCATTTGTAGGATTGATACGCCACCTACTTGCTCTCAGTAATTGTCGGCGGCTTATAACCAATAAAACCCCTCACGCATATACTGTGATGACCCAGGGTGGGATACAAAACAAACGCTGGCACAGAAAACAGGTGAAGCCCCTTTTATTCCTTCACTTTGCTTCCAAGCTCCGAATATCTTTGACGGAAGACAAAAAAACTCCTACACAGTTACACAAAGAAGGAAAAAAGCAACACAAACCAGGCAAGATACGGGCTGGAGGACGTCCACGGATAACACACACTGGGAAGGACAGCAAAGTCAGAGAGGAACAATAAACTAGAGATATTTCCATGCTTTGTTTCCAGTACGCAGGTCCAAACTCTTATTCAATTGTCACAGCTGCAGCCCATGAAGGGGATCAAGGCCCTCTCCTCCCCCCGTAGACCAGTCTCTCCCTTATCCTCTCCTCTCTGCATGCCCTAGGATGGAGAGGGGACGGGCCAGGGTCCTCCTCTTGACTGCTCAGCCAGCCTCTGCCCTTCCCCAGCCTCCTCCACAACTTCCGGAGCCCCACTCCCACTCCCTGTCGGCTGTTCCTCCTCTTCCTCGGAGTCAGCCTCCACCAGGACAACACTCAATCAAAGGAGCCGCTTCATGGGCTCCGTCCCACTCTGCATTCCCCAGGCCCCCTGGCAGAACTCGGCCTTCAAAGTCTTGCAAAAGAGTACCAGAGTAGGATCCGGTTTAATCTCTGCAGGATGATGTCTGGAAGGGAGGGAGTGTTCTGACTCAAACCTTCTTCCAAGGAAACAAACGGAGGGAACAGCAAAACCTTTGAATGATTCTTTACGAATTCCTTCCCGTTGAAAAGGCTGTTTCAAACTAATTGTCTCTGATAAGAACGAGCCTTGCCAAGGCTGCCAAGAACACCAGATAACGTTATTAAGAAATATTTCAAACACAAAGCATCTCCAAACACCAACCAATATATCCCGAATGGCCACAAGGCTTGAGTGCAAAAACTTCTTTGCTTCCTGCAAAGAACTCCGGTTTCTCAGCTGGCTTTTATCCCTTATGGGAGGGGCCATCACCTTCCAGCCTTACTCCCGAGTCGCCTGTGCTGCTGCAGCTGCTTTGAGCAGCCCTACGTGCATGCGCACTGGGCATAGGCTCCTCGGGGCCTCTTCCTCACTGCTGTCAGCCTCCACAATCTCCGAAGGCAGCACTCCACTCCCTGATGGTCCTGGCCCCATCATCCGAGTCCTCACTCTCCGAGACCTCAACCATCCGCACCTGATGTCGGCGAACCACAACAGGGAGCCACCATTGAGAAGGCCCTTCATTTGGATTCTGCCAAATGTACTTCCTTATGGATGGAACCAGGGGTGGGATTCTACCAGTTTGCACCTATTCGCTAGAACCGGTTGTTAACATTCTAAGCAGTTCGGAGAACCGGTTGTTAGAAGAAATTACTGGGCTAATCCTGTAAGGAAGGCAGGAAGGAAACATTCTGGTGTTGCTTACAGAAACTGCCTCTCCGTTAACCCTTATTACATTCTTGGCAGGACTAGACTTCCTGTCTCAGGAACTTCTCTGGAGTTTTTTCCCACTCCTTTGCTGGTACTTTGCTTGTGTGGAGTGACCGTTCAAAGTTACAATGGCACTGAAAAAAGTGACTTATGACCGTTTTTCACACTTACGACGGTTGCGGCATCCCCACAGTCACGAGAAGCCCGGCGAGGAGATGCGTGCCTTGATGTGAGTGATGTTGAGTTGGCCATGGCCAGCCAGTCACATGCCCACCAAGCCATGCCCACCAATTAAGCCACGCCCACAGAACCAGTTGTTCAAAAATTTGAATCCCACCCCTGGATGGAACCCACATCATTCCTTGCCTCCCGACTCTAATGGGTGGGTTGGATGTGACTGGCAAGAGACGGTCGCTCCGATAACCTGATCCCAAGCCATGGAGGACTTTAAAGGTGACTATCAGCGCTCTGAATGTCTGTGGAGTTTGTCAGCCATCCAGAACATGGTTGTCCCAAAGGTGCTTTTTCAAGAGGCAACTGGACTTTCTGGGTTTTCTCTGAAGGTGTTTCACTTCTCATCCAAGAAGCTTCTTCAGCTCTGACTATGACAAAAATGCTTACAAACCGTCGGCATAAACAAAATCCTTATCAGTTAATTGCAACAAGTGGCTTGACTTGGGAACCTATACATCCTGAGACAAGACCTTTAACACCATCACATATTCACCTTGGGAAAGACTCTATGGGTGCATAAAAAGGCTCTAAACACCTGGGTGACTGTGAGACATAATAATAATAATAATAAACAGTGGGCCACTTGGTTAGCTGCCACCGGAAGATTGCCCCGTCTGGCTACAAGCAACGGCGTGACAAAGTAGCAACAAATGGAACATTGGAAGATCTACAAGAGATGCCATTGGTTGCAAGCAAGAACTGGTGGCACCATAAAATAAGGGAAGTGGTAGAAAAGGAAGAAGCTAATTTGCTCTGGGACTTTAGAATTCAGACAGACAGACGACCACCTGTTACGTAACACCCGGGACTTAACAACTGTCGATATGAAAGCCCCCAAAAGTCTGAATAAGTGGACGTGGCAGGACCTGGAAACCACAGAACAACAGAAAATATAAAGGCCTGCAAATAGAAGTAGAACAACGGTGGCAAAAGAAAGCAAACGGAGCACCAATAGTGATAGGCGCTTTGGGTGCAAACCCCCAAAAACCTGGAGCATCACTGGAACACCTTCGGCAATTGACGGGCAATTGCAAAAAGCAGCTTCGCTTGGAAAAGTTGGAGACCTTTAACACCATCCAACATTCCTGCCTGCCTATCCCAGGTCCCTGGGAAGGGCTCGAGAGGTGGACAAGAATGTCAAATTCAGTTTAAACTCTGACTTTACAACGAACCGTTAATACTAGAGCCCTATTCAAACAGCATCGGCGTCGACAAAATCCCCATCGGTCAATTGCAGAAGGCAGCTTTAGTTGGAACAGCTTAATCTGAGCACAACTGATCATCTTTAACAACCATCCAAGAACGTAACAATATTAATCCTTCGGCACTTGACTTTGTTGCGGGAAATATTGAAACGCTGTGCATAGTTGGGGAATATGATGGTCTTAGAGCCCGCTGGGTTCTTCCTTGCTCTCGCTTGTACCGCTAAGATCCACCTTGCCTTCTTCACCTCCTGGAATCCCAGGGTTTATCCCACGCCAGGGGGGGGGCCCTCTTACCTTCCCGTCGGTGGTTACAGCCGCAAAGACGGTGGAGGAATACGGCGCCCACGCCACGTCGCCAACCGCAGAATTCAGGTCGTAGATAAACATGGGTGTCCTGCAAACAGAAGAGGCGACGGGTCAAGTGGAGCTGCAGGATTTTCTCTTGCCCAAGGAGGGGAAAGCTCTCGCAGGACCAGGGGAAGTCCGAATACGGATGGCCCTGGCTAAAAACTAGGTCAGGCACCCAGGGAAAGCTGGTTGCAGGGAGAAAGCAGAAAGCAAAGCAGGAAAGTTCAACTCAGGAGATGTTTTCTAGAAACTAAAGCCATCAAGAAGCACCACCCAGAAGTTCCCTAAAAGGAGAACAAGAAAAGAGATTCCCCCAGAAATCAAGATCAAGGCAGGCACTAATACCACTCTAGAAAGCTGGCCCGCCCCTGTGGAGGAGCTCCAGCTATGACCATGGTTTTGTGGTTGGTCCAAGATGTGTAGCGTTGTGGCCCTCTAGCTGCCAGCAGAGCTGGGGGAGGAATCGGACTACGAGGAGGTTGGGGAGGAACTTGGGCCAGTGCTGGAGGCTGGGAAAGGCTCTGATGGCTGCTCTGCATCGGACACAGAGGTAAAGCCAGGGCCGTCGGACATTTCCCAGCCACCGGAGAGGCAGCTGCCTTCCGAGGTTGCGATGAGTGAGGAGGACGAATAGCTGGGGCCTGTTGCAGATGCACGTATGCACAGAGCTGTTAGGAGAGGGGAACAACGGAGGACGATGAGCTGGCTCGGGAAGCAAAGGACACACGTGGGCGGCCCCTCCCCTGGCTGGGGAATAAATAGGAGGAAAGGGGAGGGACTGTCATAGGAAACAACAGCGTGTCTTTCTGAAGATTTGCTCATTATATTTCGTTGCCGTAAAGGCTGCTTGGCCTGGCCATGATCGCAAGGAACCGATAAGGTCTGTTACTGCCGTTAACTCAAGAAGAGGTTGGACTGCCATTTGTCAGAAATGGTGTAGGGTCTCCTGCTTGGGGGTGGGGGGGTTGGACTAGATGACTTACAGGGTCCCTTCCAACTCTGATGATCTGTTATCTGTTATCTGGACCTTTTGGTGGGTGAATGCCATTCATTCACAAAAGGCAACTAAAGAAAGGGGTTTTCGTGACAAGGAACCTGCTTCTTGCTTCTGTTAAGGCTGAGTCAGAACATGTGGTCCAGGTCAACTCATAAAATATTTCTCTGGTCTTTTTAGAGTTGCCAACAGAAAGGGATGGGGGAGCAGTGCAGCAGCTTGGAAACCGAAACTGCATTCCATAAATGTTTTCAAAGGTAGTAACTAGATAACCGAAGTTTCTGCCTTGCAAAATTCTAACTGGAGAGCATGACGGATGACTCTGGGCTATGGAGGTGTCCCGTTGGAGGATATGAATTATGACACCCCCAGGAGGTGGAGGGAAACAAGGGTCAAGGGTGAAAATGAATTGTGTGTCTCAGAGTCAGCTACACCTAGGCAGTGCCGGACATGTTAACTCCCAATAAATCTTTTTGAAGTTTTCTAAGTTTGGCTCAAGACTTGTGATTCAACTGGGGGTAACTGCCGGAATCCTGACAGCCCACCTGGAAGGGTGCAGGCTTTGGCTGGAGGCACCTACTTGATGGTGTGATCCCAGATCTTCACGGTCCAGTCCGAGCTGCAGGAAATGAAGACCTTGCTGTGGAAGGGGTTCCAGCGGACGGCGTCCACCGCCATGTGGTGAGCGTGGAAGATATCCAGGAACTGGCTCGAGTAGGTCTTGGAGCACTGCAAATTCACAGGAAGGGGATTATATGGCCTGTTTCCTGGTATGATTTGATTGATTATTGTACCCTATGACTATCATTAAGTGTTGTACCTGATGATTCTTGACTCTTGATGAATGTATCTTTTCTTTTATGTACACTGAGAGCATTTGCACCAAGACAAATTCCTTGTGTGTCCAATCACACTTGGACAATAAAAGAATTCTATTCTTTCTTTCCTTTCTTCCTTCCTTCCCTTTTCTTTCCTTCTTTCTTTCTTTCTTTCTTTCTTCCTATATCTATCTATCTATCTATCTATCTATCTATCTATCTATCTATCTATCTATCTATCTGATTTGATTGCTTATTGTAACCTATCATATTAAGTGTAGTACCTGATGATTCTTGACTCTTGGTGAATGTACCTTTTCTTTTATGTACACTGAGAGCATTTTCACCAAGACAAAT